ACAGATGACATCGCACTCCGAAACTCCGGATGATCTCTCCCAGCGGCTTCATGTATATGTTAAACAACATGGTTAAACAACAAGATTCTACAATCTTGGGGCAACTGATAAAAAGGTCTTCTGGGGCATGGTTGTCAGTCAGGTTCTAGCTGAAGTGGATTATACCAGAGAAGGTGATCCTTTAGGTAACTGATACCAAAACCATAAAGAGCTTTAAAGGTTTTAACCAACACTTTGTATTATGCCCAGAAACTAGGGCTGGGCGGTTTCGTTTCGTTAATTCGTAATTCGTTAAAAATTCGTTATTTTTTTTATAACGAAGCGATAACGAACCATTCTGGAGCAACTTAAAAACGAAACGAATTTTTAAATTTGTCTCGTAAATGCTTCAGATTCGTTATGTATTCGTTTCGTTATCGGTTTGAGGTCGTTTCGTTATTATTTCCGCATGTCTGGGGCAAGTTTTATAGTTGTTTTTTGTTTAATTAGTGAAAAAAAATTATAATATCACACCAACAGTCAACAACAGAGGGAGAGGGAAGCTTCAGAAGTTCCCCCTGACCCATTTGGAGGTTTTTTAGCGTATTGCGCGGTCGCGTCCGCCATTAACGAATCGATTCGTTATTGTTTCGTATTTGTTTCGTTAATGTTTCATAAATTTTTTTACATTTACGAAATTTCGTAAATATCGAACTTTTTAAAAGAAAAATTTCGGAATTCTTTTAAATATCGAAACGCAAGAACCCCCAAAAAACGAATCGATTTTAGAAACAAATTTTTCCGTTGTTACCCAGGCCTACCAGAAACTATTTGGCAACCAATGGAGTGATTGCAGCATGGGTGTACTGTGCTCAGGCCTAGATGTTCCCATAATCAATCTGATGGCATCTTTTGAACTAATTCGAGTTTACAGGCTTGGTAATGAGGTAGCCCAATGTACAGCGCATTGCAGAAGCCCAACCTTGAGATTACCAGTGCTCATCTATATAAATAAAAATTTAATGTTGGTTTGTGGGATTAACATAACACAAAAACCACTGCACGAATTGACACTAAATTTGGACACAAGACATCTATCAGGCCAACGAGTGACCATCATTCATAAAAACACTGAAAAACACAGCAGAAGGGACTCAAAAGGCCAAAAAAGCAAAAAGATGCTAGAGCGAATGCACGAAACCACATATATATGCAAACACACATATATACACATATACACAAATATATACACACACAAAACACATATACACAGACTGGGCCACAGCAACGCATGGTAAGGGATGGCTAGTAATCTATATAAATAAAAATGTAATGTTCATTTGTGGGATTAACAGAACTCAAAAACCACTGTATGAATTGACACCAAATTTGGACACAAGACACCTAACAACCCAATGTATGTCCTTCACTCAAAAAAAAATTGCTTTTGTCATTTGGGAGTTGTAGTTGCTGGGATTTATAGTTCACCTACAATCAAAGAGCATTCTGAACCCCACCAATGATGGAATTGAACCAAACTTGGCACACAGTTCTCCCATGACCAACAGAAAATACTGGAAGGGTTTGGTGGGCAGTGTCCTTTGGTTTTGGAGTTGTAGTTCACCTACATCCAGAGAGCACTGTGGACTCAAACAATGATGGATCTGGACCAAACTCTACACGAATACTCAATACGCCTGAATGTGAACACTGGTGGAGTTTGGGGAAAATAGGAAAGTATAGGGTATAGGAAAAGAACATTTCTCACCAGGAATCATATAAAAACTGGGAAGTGAGACTTCCCAAGCATTATTCAAGGTGAAGAGATTGCACCCTCTTGTGGTTCAATCGTTGACTCTTATCCACAAGTTATTCATCTCATTTCTCATTCTCACTGATTAAATATAATCTTCATAGAACCAGGATGGTTGGAGCCAGTACTTAGAGGTTTAATTTGGAAGGGAAAGTATCTGTGAGATTATTTAAAAACAAATACAACATGGAAATAAAAGATGAAAGGAAGAACCTCTGACTTTGGTCAGCCAGAGGCAATGATCTTTTCCAAAGATTAATTGCCCCTACATGAACATGTCCAAAGTACAATACCCTCACTTCAATCATTTTGGCTTTTAATGATAGTTAAGGCTTGATTTGTTTAACCTAAAAAGGAGAAGGACTGGATATAACTGTCTGACTCCAGAGGGAGTAGAACTAAAGATTTCACCTCCTGGTAATTTGGATGGAAGGCAGCCAATGAATACTAGGTTCTGTGTGCCTCTGCAAGTTTCTTGCCAAAGAAGACAGTATGAAATTCATGGGATCACTAAAGGTGACAGGTGACTTGAAGGCACGTGCACATACAAATGCTCTATTTATCTATATAAATAAAAATGTAATGTTAGTTCGTGCTACCATCGGAACTCAAAAACCACTGGGGGAATTGACACTAAATTTGGACACAAGACACCTAACAGTCTAATTTATGTCCTCCACCCAAAAAAAAAATGATTTTGTCATTTGGGAATTGTCATTGCTGGGATTTATAGTTTACCTACAATCAAAGAGC